GGGGGAGGGGGTCCCCAGAGAACCCCCTGCTGCTGCCTGGGTCCCTGCATCCCATCTCTGAACCCAGTAGGGGCCAGCTCCAAGACAGTCTTCAGTTGTCCCAAGACTCTCCTTTCCCGTCCCTCCTCTAGTCCTACCCATCCTGCAAGTGCCCCTGCCACCTTTCCAGACCTATCACCCTCATCTAAAACACCACCTTTTCTGGGGTTGTCACCTCCCCTGGCTGGACTCTCATTGTTCTGGAAGACTCCCCCCAGTCCATGAAGGGAACTGCACAGGGGACAGGCTGGTTAAAGACTAAGGCAGGACCCCTGCTTTTCTGTCAACACCTTATTCTTGTCAAGTGCGTCCCCTGTCTCTTCAACTTTTCACCTCCAAGTCACTGACAAAAGGCCAGAGAGGCTGGGGGACAAGGCTGGGATGAAAACTGTGCTGGACACCCACTAGACCTTCCCAGGGAGGAGGCGAGGTAGAGGAGATGGAGGGCCACACCTGCCACAGATTTCTGGTGTTTTGGCAGAAAACCAAAGCGAGAAGGCCAGGTTCTGTTAAAATGCAGATTTACATGTCTGCCCACGCAAAACCTGGTGGAGTGGAATCTCTGAGCTGGAATCACACACACACACACACACACACACACACGCACATGCACACATGTGTGTGCAGCCTCTGCCCACGGGCCCCACAGAACCAGAGGACCGTGGGTGTCAAAGCATGAATTCACCTCAGGGGAGATTAATTGCTTCCTTAATTGGTTGAGCCCACCCTGGGGAGCCCTGCCTGCCTGGAAAGTCCCCAGTTGTGCCTAGAAAGAATGGGACTGGTTTGCCTGGTGACCAATAGCCGGCTGGGAAGGAGGCGCCCCTAGAGGAGGTCACAAAGAACGTGCTCCCAGCAGAAAAGGGCGTTAGAGAGAGATCATAGGCGTGTGGGAGTCCTGCAGCCTCACGCCTTGCGCCCTCTTCCCACAGCGTCCCCAGCACCTTCTGGTCCTGCTTGTACCCACCCTGTTCCACAGCCCTGTCCTACTTCACAGGATGGTGGCTTCCTGACTAGGGCCCCTAGAGTGGGGAAGCGGGGACTCAGATCTCCCGTGAGGGCGTTTTCATATCAGCCACAAGGTGGCGCCATCGGTACAGAACACTCCCAAGGTTGTCCTGAGTGTCCAGAAAGGGAGCCAGGTGGCTCAAGTGCAGGACTTGGTGGCTCTGACACCTGTTCCCCGAGACCGCCAGCCTTGTCTCCAGCTGAAGAGACCTCAGCACTTGTCTCTCCCAGGGGCACCGTTGTCCAATGGGCCCATAAGGCACCTGGGAAACGTGACAAGGGTGCTGCCTTTGTTTCTTGTGATTTCCAGATCTTCAGGATTCCCTTTAGTGTGGCAGGGTGGGGGCGGGGGCACCAGCTCCTTGCTGCTTCCCCCTGAGCTACCAGGGAAAGGCTTGTCTAACTGTGGGCATGCACACAAAGGGAAAAGCTGCACTCTGGTACCCTTTGCAACCGGAGCAGCTCACTTTTTTCTCTCTTTTTCTCCGTCATTGTCTGTAAAATGAGGTCATGCTAGCAGCCCTAATTGGAAAATCAGGTGGACTGCAGGAGCACACAGTGGTCAAAGAGCAGCCTCCGGAGCCCAAGTCTTTGTCCCACCACTTCCTTGCTGTGTGGCTTTGGGCAAATGACTTGTGCTCTCTGAACGTAGGTTTCTTCATCTGTAAATCAGGGGCATTGATAAAATTTCCCACAAGGGCTTTCTATGAGGACGGAAGTAGTTGGTACATGAAAAACCTTTAGAACCATGTCTGATGTGAAATGAACGCCTAAGATACAGCCAAAAATACAGGGCAGCCTGAACTGAGCAGGGCTTTGGATTTGGGCCAGGCCAGCATGCTGTCAGGGCAGGAACCTCCCACAGGCACAAGGTGATGCCTCCAGTGACAGAGAGCTCACCCCAACCAAGACAGGAAGTGGTCCATTGAGGGTCGGCTCAGCCCACATTTAAATAGGTGTCCTTCCTAAGTCCAGCCAGTTCTCACCTTGCCTTGTGCTGGTGAAGGGTCACATTAAGCCCAGTGTTCTGGTACTCACCTCAGTGGAGGCCAGTGCCACCCAACTGCAGGACTGCCACGTGGGGCAAGAAGAGGGACCCTGAATGCAAACCTGGGGCTCCTAGAAGGACCAGAAAAGAGGAAGTGTCCCCGGGATCCCAGGAATGGATGGCTCTTTGTCTCAGCCACCAGGGTTACTCTGAGGGGGTCCCTCCTGCTGGTTGGCTCCTCCTGGAGCTATGGAGACTTTGGAAGAACCTGGGGCAGAGGGTCCCCTTCCTATATACTGCTGCTTTCCACACACCTGCTGTGGCCCCTAGTGCAGCCTGGAGAGTGACCTCAGAGGCACAGGCCTGGCTGGAGGCCCCTGCTACCTCACTTGGGCTTCTGGAAAACGTGTCCAGGGTGTGTTTCCCTTTAGAGCCAGAAATGATCCAAGGACAAAATTATAACTTCCATTTTTGTATCTCCACTGTCTGGTACACAGAAGGAACTTAATAAATGTTCATGGAATGAAACTGAACATGGAGGCCAGCAATTGCAGTCCTGATTGGAAATCTTCAGTCTTAGTGCAGAGGAGGCTCCTGGGGACAGCAGGGAATACCTGTGTTCTCCGGTTCCCCACTCCACTTCTTCCTCTTCCTTCAGGGATGAACCTCCGCCATGGAGGCCTCCTGGGTACCCCTTTCTTTCTTCACCCTGGATAATTCACCCCTTCCCTGCCACCCCTCTTTGTTCTGCATGCTCTTCTGCCATGGAGGTAAGGTTAGAGTTTACCTTATCCCCTGTGCCTCGAAGCTGGGGCCTTTTCCTTTTGCCTCCTTCTGGGAAGTCAGTGCCTGGACAGAGCAGGCACTCAGCACGATTTGAAGGACGGATTGAGGGGTGGCAGGACAGATGATGATGCATGCGAGCCAGTGGCTGGGAGGTGCTGCCTCCACGCCCCGCCGTGACCTCACCTGCAAACAGCCTTGAAGGCCTGGCCAGAAGGCTGAGATGCTGCAGCTGCCTGCTCCTCCTTCTGCCTTTCGGGCCTTTATTCAAAGGTCCTGCCCAGGCACAGGGGAGGAAAAGCCGATGGAACCCAGCCCAGCTAGTCCACTGCTTGGCGGCCTCTTGGATGAGAGGAGGTGAAAAGTTGGGCCAACAGTGAGTTTCTTTCATCTGGTCTCCGAGGCCAATTGAGACCTCCGGGTCCTGCCAGTGCAGCCTAGGTCAGCAGGGCTCCTTCTCCAGGCATGCTCTATTTCTCCCCAGGAGGCTGTGTGACTGCCCAACAATGACCCAGGACCTCAGTCTCCCCTTTTGCAGTCACAGCTGTGCTTTGTAGCCCCAGAGCCCGTGGTGTGGGGCATGGGCCTCATCCCACCCCACCTGGAGCCCAGGAGTCCCACTGAGGCCAACCAAGAGCCCCCTTCATACCAGCACAAAGGGAGCAGCTACCTCACAACAAGCCCCGGAGGAAGGCGCTTTGACCTCATCTCACGGTCATCCGCCCATTCATGCAACTCCCTGCGCCCCGCACAAAGCCATCCGATGTGAAGAGCCACAGGAGGCAAGAGAGCGAGCAACCTGGCTTGCTAGGTATGGAGCAGGCTTGGATCTAGGCTCCTAGGAAGCCCAGCTCCCCGGGAGCCTAGTACAGAACTGAACTCAATGCACAGTGAGGGGATCTGGGTCATCTGCCTGGGAGGCACAGGCAGTCAGGAGCAGTGAGCTGGCACCTGGGTAAGTGCAGGGACAGTGCCAGTGTCGGAGGAACAGACCTCAGTGCTCCTTGCACCGAGGCACTTGACAGCCTCTCGGTGCCAAACTGTAGTGAGACTCAGAGGCACAGACCGATGCCTTTAAAATGCTCCCTCTGTGCACAGAGGCATTAACGTGACGTCTATCACCATGGCACCGAGGTGCTTAGACAACCTGCTCCCCCCAGGAGCTGGGGAGCGGCATGAAGCAGATTATCAGTGTCTCGCTGTGACATCCGCGATCATGTATCACTGTGATGGATCAACAGTCGATACCGCTGGGGTCCCGGCCCACCCCGTGCACTGCAATGCCTGTGTTCATAAGTCTTCCTCACCTGGTGGGGGTCCTGTTCCTGCTTGTCGGTCGCCACACTCCTGGCATGGGAGGAAAACACCTTCTGGCTTTCATTGTTCATGTGCAAAGTGGATGAGGGAAAGCATTTGGGCAAAGCACTAAAACGGGCCCCCACTGTGACATCCCTGGGCTGCAGCCAGTGCGCCCAGCCTTGTCTGCAGAGGCAGCAGGGGTGGCGAGAAAGCTCAGGCATCAGGCAGCCAGGCCTTCTGGTCTTGGGCAAGGTACTTCACTCGTAGTTTCTCCTTTGTGCAGTTGGGCTAGGGGTTGGTGGCACTAATGAGAAAGGAGGGAAGTGCTCAGCATGTGAGGAGCTCGGCCACCATCCCCCCACCCCCACCCCGCCGTGTGCCATGTCCTCCCCATGCCCACTCACCCGTGCTGCTTAGGACACAGGCAGACAGCAGTCCTACCCCATCCAACCCAGTGCTGGGCTCAGAAGGTCAAGGGTGGATCCTCCCAGACAATTACTGTCCCTGGGCTAGAGCCTGGTAGGAGGGAGGACATGAGCTGTGATGTGGAGCCCAAAGGGGAAGCAGTTCGTGTGTCCCATGGTGGGGGGATGGGGTGAACTGAGGTTTAGGGAAGTCACAGGGAGGAGTGATATTTGAGGTGGTTTAAGAGGTGGCCCTCCCTGGACGGTGATGCCTCCTAGCCTTAGAAGGTGTTGGGCTCTCTCTGGGGCTGGGGACATGTGGCTCCTGCCCTTCACCTTCACAGCCTGGCCCCACCTCCACCCCTCCCCTCTCCTTTCCTCTACACTCCAGTGGCTCCCACCCCCACCAAAAAAGCCAACTGCTCAGAACACATTTTCAAGGAATTTCTGGAACATTTCAGAGGGGAAGTGTGTGCGGATGTGGTTGTAGGTCACTTTAACAGCATTTCAGAAGTGAGCTAACCCCAAACCTGACTGAACTCCTGGAAACCTCATGCCAGCCTCTGCACGGCCACCGCTGTCTCCTGAATAGGGCTCCACTGGAAGCACCCACAAGGGGGTGGGAGAGGCCTGGGTCTCCATCTTTCCCTCTTACCCTCCCTGTGGCCTGGACAAGTCCTATCCACCCCCACTGGAGCTGTTCTCACTATTTGAGAGGGACATTGGAGGCTTTGAAGAGGAGGACACCAAGGGCAGCGTTGAGGAAGCAAAATGGTGACCAGGGAGGAGTTTATGGGGACACAAAAAGGAACTGTGGCTACGGTGTGGGCTGTCCCCTTTTGGGAGCTAAAGAGGAAGGAGGGACATTAACTGAGTGTCCCGGACAAGGAGACCAGATGGAGAGCTGGCTTCCATGGTGTTGGGCCCAGGCAGGCCCCCTGAGCCCTCCCAGCCGCCTCAGGGCCTCCCAGCTACTCTGTTTGCTCCTGGTGCCATGGACTCTGCAGCTGGCAGGTACGTCTGTCTCCTCCTCACGTACTGTCACTCGTGCACATCAGAGGGGCTTTCATCCGGCCATGCAGCTGATTCCCGGGACCTGTCTCCAGGGATTTGCTGCGTACCGTTTGAACACTGCAGACTTCACAGGGTAGGTCTTCAGGGACCAAGAAGGTGTTTAGCTAATACCTTGCCAAGGTGGCTTTTGAAGGGGCGGGGAACCGTGCTGTTTTTGCTGCTGTGTTAACAACCACCTCCTAGCCCCCTGGCCCCCTGGCCCTTAAACAAGGAGGGCAGGTGTTGTGTGACAAGGTTGGGCACAAGGTTCACGGGGAAGGACAGCTCACTGCCCAGGGAATTTCGTGTGACTGCTGTGGTAGAGCTATGGTGTTGAACCCGGCAAGTGTCAGAGCAGGCCTGGGTATTGTTGCTGCCAGGGAGGAAAGGGGTGACACAGTTCTGTGCACCCTGGAGCACAGAACTGTTACTGCCATCAGAGACAGTGACACCTCCCACTTCCTGAAATACAACCTGAGGTCAAGGAACTCTTAATAGGAGTGTGACTCCCCAGGGCCAACGCTGGTACCCTTCCCTGATCCCAGGCTCCCTCAGAAGCTAGGTGTCTTTTATCCAAACCAGGCTGTGGGGTGGGTGGCCTTGGGGCGAGTTTATCCAGGCCAGGGAACACCCAGGAGGCTCCCTCTCCAGGACAGCCAGTGCTATGGTCCCTCAGACTCAGCCACTTATGGCGGCACTGGGTAATTCTGCCGGATCCTCTCTGTCCCTTCTTCATTGGGCTCTGTTGCTGACTATTTGCCACCCCACTGTGGAGGTCAGGTGCTTTTCCTTTCATCCACTTCAACTTTTATAAGACCTCGAGGAGCTGCTCCTGCCCCATTCTGTGCCACCCCCACTTTCTTTATATTATAAACAATTATTCTGATGATCACAAATTAGCCTTTGTTGAACTCTTAACCTGGCACCACTGTACACCCTCACAGCACCCCTGGGGTACCTATTGTCTTCATCAGCATTATTTCAAGGGTGGAGAAATGGAGGCCCAAGGAGGCCCATTACTTGCCAGAGGTCAAGCCTGAGAGTGGCGATCAGGCTCAGACCAGGTCAGACTTAGCCTTAGCCAGGATCCTGGCTAGGGGACTGTGGGACTCCTCGTGCCTTTCTTTGCAAAAAACATTCTTCACAGAAAAATTTTCTACTGGTGAGGTGAGAGCCAACCTGTGTAGCCTCTATGTCAGGCTGCTGCCCAGGCGCTGGTGATCTGCTTTCTTTAATCCTGTGCACTCCACATTGTCTGTCCCCAACCCAGGCAGACCTGGATAAAGATGCCCAGAGTGCCAGAATGCAGCTTGTTGGTGACAGTGTGTTTGAACTCCTGCTTAGTCACTTTAACCTAATTTCCCCTAAATTCCCATCATTTCTCTGTGTGGTCCTGCCTCCCACCACTGAGCAGAAGAGACTGCATGGCCAGCTGGAGCAGCCGCTGCTACAGAAAAGCTCTTTTGTAACAGGGTGAATTGCAAACAGAAACAGATTTTTTCCCCTGTGTTGCAACAAATGCTATGCCAAAGAGAAACCCTTCCTGCTCTTTTACAAGAGGGGAAATCACCTTACAAGTCTCCTGGAGCCCACAGCAGCAGCGCACAACCCATCTTTGCTTTGGTCCTGTCCCTGCAGCCCTCTCATCTATCTGCCGTGTCCTGCCTCTCCCCCATGCTCCTGTCTCAGGTGTTGGGGGTCTTTTATTTTGAGGCAGGGTCTCACTATGTAGCACAGGCTGACCTGGAATTGTGAGCCTCCTGCCCGAGCCTCCTGAGTGTTGGAATTTCAGGCGTGCACCACCACACCTGGCATAGGCTTTGAGGAATCCTATGTCCCCCACATCCTACAATCCCAAACTGCAACCTACAATCTGGCGCAGACAGCAGCGGAGCACCTGCTGGTGGAGACCCAGCCTGCGTCCCTCACAGTGGGCACGGACAGCATCCTCACAGAGGTCCAGTCTCACAGAGTCCACCTGTTTCCCTGGACAGCCATAGGAGGCGGGGTTAGGAGTGCAGCCCAGGGTCGTTCAGCCGAGTTCCGGTCTAAGCTCTGCCTCTCACCCCTAGATCCTGGGGAGGTTACTTAACATCCCTGCATTTCAACTGCCTCGTCTGTCAAATGGGTATGTTACAATGTTCAGCCTGCCTAGGACACCTAGGGGCAGAGAGCCTGGCAAATCGTTAGTGCCAAGAAAGTGTTAGCTGCCTGCTAGCTTGGCAGAGCCAACTGAAACAGGAGATACCTTGGTAGCCCACAGGCTCATGTGCAGTGTCCCCAGCACACCCTGGCCTGGCATTGGCACAACCTCTTAGCTTGCAGCCCTTCCCTTCCTCCTCATCCTGCTTGTGAGTTAAGCCCTTTGCCAACTCTGCTTTCTTCAAAGCCACCATGGTGTCATTGCAGCTACTTCCCCCAGGGGTGAATCACCTGAGCCCAAGATTTGGATTTTGCTCGTGTGCTCCTCCACCTGGCCTGAGGTACCCCCCAAGGACTTTGGGGCCAGGCAGATCTGAATTCAGTGCCTGCCCCCCACCCTTCTCCTTTTCTCGAGACAGGGCTTTGCTATATGGAGCCCAGGCTGGATTGAACTCAAGATCCTCTTGCCTCAATCCCCACTCTCAGATTGGGGGAAACCATGAGATTTGGTGGGGAGAACAGGACCCCAGGAAGCATTCACCTAAGAGTTTGCTGCAGGGGGTTTTCTCTGGCCTCAGGCGTCATGCTCCCTTTGCTATCCAAAAGATGTGCAGATGCTCTGCCTTTTCCAGACCAGGGCTTTCTGCCTCCTTTTTCCTGCCTGTCCAGCCTCTGTCACCATTGGTCTCTGCTTTTCATCTTTGTTAATCCCAATGAAGAGCTTGGGAGGCAGAGGCAGGGGGTGGAGAGGCAGTGCTCTGGGGAGATGGAGCTGGGCCTGCCGGAGGGGGCCTGGATGGAAGATAGGACCGAGCAGGAGGGTGGGTGGCAGGTACAGGTGAATAAAGGCTGAGGCCAGAAGGCAGAGCCTGGGGAGGAACGGTGGAGGTTCTGTGTGAGTGGAGAGGAGAGACTCTTGCAGAGCAGTGAGATATGAAACCATTTCCGGAAGATTGTAAATGCCTGTCAGGTGAGGATTCAGACGCCCGTCCCAATAGGCTCTCTCCTCATTGCTGCTTCTTTGTAATTGTGAAATGTAATACACATACAGAAAAGAAAAGCACAGTGTTGAATAATAAGTACTACAAAACAAAAGTCCTGCATGACTACTATGCAGGTCAAGAAAGAGAATGTTCTTGCTCATTCCAGAACATTCCTCCAAAGATACCCTCTCTCCCTTCACAGGTCCAGCTCTCTTGTGAATGAGAGTGGACATGGGGGTGGTGAGTAAACATGGACCTATTTCTTCACAGTCTTATCATTTAGGACACATCACTAAACCATATAGACTAGCTTGCTTGGGGTTTTTGTGTATTTTTTTTTTTCCATAGTGCTGGGGATGGAACCCAGCCTCCTGCATGGTAGGCAGGTACTCGATCACCCCCAGCCTGCTTCGCCCTGTTTTGAGCTTTGTATAATGGGAATGTTACTGTATGTGTTCTTTTCATTCAATATTATGTTTTTTAAGGTAGATTCACTTTTTTTTGGAAGAGGGGAACTGGGGTTTGAACTCAGAGCCTAGCACCTGCTAGGCAGGCTTTCTATCACTTGAGTCTCGCTTGCAGCCCTTAGGCACAGCCACCTGACGGTGCGGCTGGAGACATTTTCATTCCTATGGGGCAAGGGGAGCAAACCAAGGTCTGAGGGCTAAATTCAGTCCTCTACCTCTTTTGTATGGCTTGTGAGTTAGGAATTGTTTCTTTTAAATGGTTGGAAAAACCAGAAGAAAAATATTTTGGAATGTGAAAAATTATATGAAATTCAAATTCTCATGTCCATAAATACAGGGTTTTGTGTGTGTGTGTTTTTGGTTTTGATAGTACTGAGTCATGCTTGTCATGCAGACAGTCTTTACCACTTGAGCCACTCCATCAGCCCTTTCTGTGTGTGTGTGTGTGTGTGTGTGTGTGTGTGTGTTGGTTCTTTTTGAGATAGGGTCTCACTTTTTGTCCCTGCTGGCCTTGAACCGAGATCCTCCTGATGATCTGCCTCCTGAGTAGCTAGGATTACAGGCATGGGCCACAAATGCCTGGCGTAAATACAGTTTTTTTGGAACACAGCTTGCCTTTTTGTTCACAGACCATCTATGGCATCTGCCATGCCGGATGGCAGAACTGAGTAATTGGGGATACAGGATAACATGGTCCACAAAGTCTGTAATATTTACTACCTGGCCCTGTACAGAAAACGTCTGTGGACTCCTGCTGTGGAATACGAATACACTGCAGCTTTTTTTAGTGGTGCTGGGCTGTGAAATGGGCATGGACTCCCAGTACAGGTGTGGACACTGAGTGCCTCCAGTGTCTCATTGAAGTACTTCTTTTGTCCCTGTGTGGATGGCTGTGACCGTCCACAGGGCAGGGACTGCGTGGGCTTTTGTGACCCCTCCCTTGGTCCTCATCACTATGCCTCGTGGACACTCAGGAAAGAGTAATAACAGAATGGATGAAGCTCCTCCGCCCTAGGAGGAGTTCTGATCAGGGTGAAGATGCGATGATGACCAGGAGGGGCCCCTGGACGAAGAGACAGAAGATCTAGATAGTCTTCCTGGTGAGAGGTGGGGCTGGGGCAAGCCCCTACCCTCTCTGAGCCTCACACTCCTCTCTGGCATTGGCAGAGTACAAAGTCCCCTGGATCTTTGAATGACAGTGGACATGGGGTGCTAGGTCAACATGGGCCTGGACACAGGCCTTGTCCTCCCCCTGCTCCTGGTAAATCTAGGTGAGGTCTCATCTTAGTAAAAGGGTCACTTTCCTGAAGGCTGCTTGGCAATGCACCAAATTTAAAACATGCAAGCCCTTTGCCTCAGCAAGTGCCCT